AAATACCTTAATGACTCGGCATTATTAGTACCCCCTCCCTTTTTTACAGGCGTACACGGAACCTGATGCAAACAACACACTCTTGCTCACTGCCCAAGACTTCCAGTGTGGCGAAGACCAGACAGAAACCATGGTCGACGATGGGGGATTTGCAGTATCGATGGAGAAAGGTTAGAATAGATATAAACAAACGCTTTCATCATTTGCACTCTGGTTTTGCAACGCACAATGCACCTTTCTTATTTGTCGCTCATCCTACAGCAACGACATTTCAAAGAATTTAACTGGACGAGGGGAAGACCATTTTAATCGTCCTTATTGTTCTGATCTATTGCGTTCCGTCAATAAACAAATATTTTTCGGAGAGATTTACTATATTCTAAAAGGCGTACTACTACCATGACTACACTCTTAACTATTGTTTTTTTTCCCTCGCAGTAAACACGGAAGAAGAGTGTACTCCAGCAACCACCGATGGCGGTAACTCCATTATGGTCAGCTTTGTGTCTTCTATGGTGTGCCTCCTCACTGCTCTTAAATTGTAAAAAAATAATAATAAGCAATATTGTACATGGCATAAAGAGGCCACAGGTCGGTTGGTACGATCCTCGTTCGAGGACGGTGTTGTGTTTGCACTGAGAATTTTTGAATATTCTCAGTTATTTATGGTTTCAATGCGTATATTATTTATAAGGAAGTTAAGCAGATAACACATATTGTCGACCTACCAAAACAAGTTTATTAGATAAATACTTCGACCCAATATTTATATCATACTAAACTTTCTTAAGTAATCTAGTCATTCGATCTCTATTGTAAGTGCTTCGATATACTAGTATCAATTTCTAAAACAAATCACGTGGTTCCCTGCAATGGGTTGGTGTTGAACAATGTGGCTTTGGACGAGGATGGTCACGTGCCATAGATGCGAAGCGAAAGAGAATCCCTGCAGATCGTTCATGGGGACCATGGTTTATTTCGTTTTAATGGTGAATAATTGATGGTCACAGTAACGTTATTTATGCATGTAATTAATATGCCAAAGCGTAGCGTGGTCGTCCCCAGGAATCGTTACTTAAGTGTAATGCGGTGTATCAATAGCGCCAACACAGGTGAATATGTGCATTTCTTTCGTATTCTCTTATTTTATATTAGTTGTACTACAAATGATTGTCACTGAAACACGATGTTTCTGGATGGAACTGTTGTATATCGTAAATGCACAGTGTAGCAATCAAAGTTCTGTAAGTGTAACTGAATTTTGTAGATGTTTAATTTGTTTAACTACATGTGTAATCTACATATATTTTACTATTAAGTTGAAAAAACACGCCTTTAAGCGTTGGGCGTTTCGAGGTGACTGAATGCAGCCACAGTACTATAGAAAACAAACACCTTGCTTTTATGTCTTATTTGTAAAAAAAAATAATAAAATAACAGCTTGTCAAGGCGCCACCAGCGTTCAAACTGATACAATCAAAAGTCATATGAACGCATCAGTCTGATGCCATACGATTGTGATAAAATATTACATGTAGCCCATACTCAACACTCGGCAATATTATATAATGTAATTATGTTGTTTTGTTTTGTTTTTGCACGCTAAAGGGGAAATTAGACGAAAAATTACTTATTTTAAAATCAACACTGAAGGCGCCATGTTTTTCCATGATTTCGACCCCTATCGTTGATAGCGTTACTCACGCGAGATTTGCTGCATGTTTAGTTCAGTATTGCCTGTGTGTTGTTTCAGTGTCGTGTTTTGATGGTGGTTCGAGGTTAACAAGATGACGAAGACTACCAGGCAAAATCTAGGAAAGAAAAATATTTTGAGAAAACTTGATATATGTTATAATTTTAAAATGCAACAACACTTTTTTTTACGAAAAATTGTATTGGATCCGAAACC